TCCAAATCATAGCTTGCTCAACTCAAGCCACACCAAACCCACACTGACAACTACCCTTAGAATATATGTCAGATCTGTCTCTCAAAGGCCAGGGCGTAGGCCTACCTAAATATGTACATGCCTCATCTAAACCACCCTGACCCTCAAAACCCCAACTTAGTAGAAACACTAGAGTTCAGATCTAGATTAACAGTAATCATCAAAATGTCTTCTAAGTCTAAGAGAGTATCACACAGAACCTAAGTTGATGCCTCACAAAATGCTCGCTCGCTTATATAGACGAAGCCGGCCCTACCTCCTCAACTCCTCCTGGTTTTGCCTATATAACTAAGCCCTAAGTCCATCTGCGGACTTCTCTACTATCCTACCCTGTCTATCATACATTTTACCCCTACCTCTGAGATCTTCCCTGCTGCCTTATCCTCAAGAAACTCGAGACAGTCCAAAGCATGATGCGCGCTCCTCTTGCAGTAGAAACATAGTTTATCAACCTTCCTCTTGAACTTCCTCTTCCTGGGCTGAGGAGGTGGTGATGAAGGAGATCCTGCCAAGGTACTGATAACCCCCTGCTGCTCTGCTTGAGGAGCTGCAGTACCAACGACTTCCTGCCGCTCTGTCCCCGGAACTGGTCCACCATACCCAGATCCAGTAGCCCAAAATCTTAGTCTGCCTCTCAAATCCTCTGTCGCTGGAACGTACTCGGGTGTGTCCAACCTCTGAGGCCTCCTCTCGAGTGCCGCCCCTGGTACTGCTGTGGGCTGCTCCTCGATCTCCTCTGGTCCATACTCAGGTGTACCTATCCTCTGGAGTCTGCCCTCGATGGCACCCTCCTTCTCAATCCCCATCTCTCTCTCAAGAGGCTCCTCTATCCTCTGCTCAGGTGAAAACAAACTCACCTCCTCCTGCATAGTATGCACCGCCTCAAGGAGCACGCCCATGGATCCCTCTGCCGAGCCCTGAGCCGGCTCACTGCTAGATGGTGGCAGCCCCTCCTCTACTGCCAAAGGTACGACTGGGCCTGCTGCCGCCACCGGCAGCGTCGCGAGCTCAGTAGGGGCTCTAAACTCGAACGCCTCTCTCTCTGCCTGTCTCTGGGCTCTCGCCTCCTCTGGCTCCAGGATAACTCTCCCCATAGGCAGCTCCTGGCGAGGCTCTGTCGCAGATGGCTGTCCTGGCTGCCTTTGCTCTCCCTGCCGGCTACTCTCTGGTCTGTCCACCTTTCCCTGGGTTTGCTGCTTCAGGCTCTCAATGATAGCTGCCTGGCTGGTCACCAAAGCCCTAAGCTCCTGAATTTCCACCTCCATAGCCTCCAGACGTACTCCATGGCTGGCTTCCTTCATTTTCTTCCCCGCCAGATCGCCCTCCAATAACAAGTGCCGGTCAAAAGTGGTCTTGGCCAGGAACTTAATTTTACGATCTAACCTTTCTTCCGCCTTCCTGGCCACCCCAAACCCGGCTCTGACTGGCGATGGAAGCTCCTCTCCTCTCTGCTCCCAGAAGTCTCTCCACATTTCAGGAATTTTCGGGGCCTTGGCTGGCGCGCTGGGCGGCTGACCCGGGAGTGTTCCTGCTGCCTCCGATCTCTGCCTCTCCTGCTGCTGCTCCGGGAGCTCCCCTGCTGCCTTCAACCTCTGCCTGTCCTGCCATATCTCATCTATCCGCCTGGTTCGTCTTGCCCTCTTTTCTTCGGCCGTCTCTCCAGCTGGCACCCTTTTCCTCGTGCGGAGGTCAACCCTCTTTGGGATTTCTGCTTCCATCTCCTTCTCGGGCTGGCATGACTCCTGGCATGGCTGTGCAGGTGCTGGCTCCTCCAGGTCTGGGTGCTCCAGGGCATGAGCTGCTAGGTGCCTATCAATCAGGATCAAAATTTCTCTCCTTACAGTTGCCCTCTCTCTCCTCCTTTCTGCCCACCCTTCTGGCGAAGGAGCCTTTTCTGACGAAGGTAAAGGGGTCTCCTCTCTCCGCAACCCCTCCTTTGCCTGCCGGGTGCTCCCTGGTGCATCCCCGAGTCTCAAACCCACTGCTGGCGTTTGTGGGGGCGTGTCCTCTCCAACCTCTATCACTTCCTTCCCTGCACGTCTCCCCTCATCGCCCAGCCCTCTCTCTTGCTGAGTACCCCGGATCTCTTCCTGTGGTACCTCCTCCCACGACATCTTCTCTCGTGGTATCTCCCCCTGTGGCACCTCCTCTCGTGGCACCTTTTCTGCCTGCTCTCCATGCTCCTCACCTTGAAGCGACGCCCTCCACTGAGAAATGTCTAAATGCATCCCCAATTTCCTCAAGGGCCCCTCTGACGCTGGTGGCTCCCCCTGTGTGTGTGCTGGCGACCTCCTCAATCCACCCTCAGTAAAACGATGGAACTCCACTGACCCCAACCCACACTCAGGGTATGCCCCTCGCTCCTCATCCTCTGGCCCCTGCTCTCTCCTGGCTAGGGCCTTCCGTCCTCCTCGAGATGGTCTCGCCTCCCTGGGCTCAGGGTCCCTCGACCTCTGACTCCTCTGCCGCCTCTCGACTCTGGGCTGAGGGAGCTCTGGCCGTCGAAAGGCCTCTCTCAAATGTGCCCTGCAGCTCTCCCAATCTCGTGCCATGTCCCTGATCTGCATAGCCAGTGACCTTTCCGCCTTCCTGGTCCAGAGTGGTAGCGACTGCATCCAATCATCTCTCGGTATGCCCTGCTCTTGTATGAACCACTCAAACGCGGGGATGAAGTCCGACGCATTTCCAATCTCCAGGCGGATCGGCCTGCCATCAGGTCCCACAGGCGACGGTCGCAACTCCTCCATCTTCATCTCCATCTCCTGCCTCGTCGTCGCTTCCCTACGAATCCTGGCAATGGGCTCTTCGAACCTACCTGCTCCCCTCAATCTCTCAATCGCCTGAGTGACGGTCCAACCCATACGCCTCGCATGCTCCCAGAAACTGTCCAGGAATAGCTCGATGTCCCCATCATTGTAGACTGGAGTACTCTCTCGTTGGCGAGGCCCATGCCGCTCATATCCTCCTGATGCGCCCAACGGCCTCTGAGGCGGCTGTGTCCCCTTCCCTCCTCTTGGCATGGCTGTCTTCGTAAAGTCAGACCTGCACAACAGGCGAAGGAGACATCAGACACACGTTGGGGTAAGCAAGCAGGTGATAATCAGAGCAAGCTCAGACCAGACCACACTTATGCAGCATGCATCCTTCCTAACCTACACA